GGAAGTGGGAGGGGAGCTGTTGCACTGTGGTAAACTGTGGTCAATGACATGAGACAAAGTATATGTGAACTGCTGTATGGAAAGTGAATTTTCTCTGTAAATCTTCACCCAATCACAATTTAAGAAAGAAAAGAAAATAAAACATTCCTTGAATAAAAAGAGAATGAAAACACATCATACCAAAATCTTTGGAAAACAGCAAAAATAGTACTCAGAGGGCAACTTATAGCAATAAATGCACACATTGAAAAAGAAAAGAATGAAAATCAAGACCTTAACATCTCCAACAACTAGAAAAAGAACAGCAAAAGGCACAGTTACCAGAAGCAAGGAAATTATAAAGATTAGAACAGAAATAAATGAAACTGAAAAATAATGAAATCAGCAAGACTAGAAGTTGGTTCTTGAAAGTTTTAATGACAGCAAAGTTCAAAAAACCAGAAACAAAATCCTGGTGAGGTATGGAGAGTCTAGAATCTTCATACACTGCTGATGGAATTGTAAAATGGTGCAACCACTGTAGAAAATGGTATGGTGCTTCCTTAAATGTTGGCAATAGAAATGCCATGATCCAACAATCCCACTACTAGATATGTATCCTACAGAAATAAAAGCCATGGCATGAATGCATATATGCACACCCATGTTCATTACAGCACTATTCACAATAGTAAAAATAAGGAAACAACCTAAGTGCCCATCAAGGGATGAATGAAGAAACAAACTATGGTCTAACTCACTGCTATTGAGTCAATTTGACTCATAGTGACCCCTCCTTGGGTTTCTGAGGCAGTATCTCTATGGAAGTAAATTGCCCAACCATCCTTCCAGAAAGTCAACATAGAATCTGCTTACCCTCATATTGTCCTCTCATTTTGATGCAGAGAAAGACTAGGGGGAATAAAAGGATTTTTCCAAAATATTCTGTTTGATAGATCTAATTGAGAGATATAAAATGTGGAGATAACTAACACTTGCCTTTCCATAATAAAAATACACATTTCTTCTGCAGGTTGCAAGAGATGAATTTCTCTGATAACTCTATACAATGTTGTTTCACAAATTTAGGGTCCAGATCAACATTATCATTCTTCAAAAGAAATGTCTGTGGAGTCTTTCCTGTATAGTGTATGGGGTAACGGAAGTAGCATAGGGAAGTGGTTACTTCATATATTTCTGTACAGCATGGAGCAAAATAAAAGGGCAGCCGAGAACAAAGGAAAGAGCCTCATCCATCTGTTTCCCACCCCACCCCCATTGTTTTTTGGTGGGGAGGTTGTTTTTTTTTTGTTGTTGTTGTTATGTTTTGGTGCAAATATACACAGAAAGCCATATGCAAATTCAACAATGTCTACATGTACATTGCAGTGATATTAATTACATTCTTAAAGTTGTGCAACCTTCTTGCTATCCTTTTCCAATTTATTCCATCACTGCTTCTTAAGCTTGTCATTGAGCCTTTCCAGTTATTCTTCTCAATTTGATCACATATAGATAATTCTTTAAAATAGCACAATGCTCAAGGTGGACATTCTTCACTAATTAAGGAGCTCTGGTAGCATAGTGCCTAAGGCACTTGACTGCTAACCAGAAGGCTGGCGGTTCAAACCCACCA